GTAGATAGATAGATAGATAGATAGATAGATAGATAGATAGATAGATAGATAGATAGATAGATAGATAGATAGATAGATAGATAGATAGATAGATAGATAGATAGATAGATAGATAGATAGATAGATAGATAGATAGATAGATAGATAGATAGATAGATAGATAGATAGATACTAGTAGATAAGCAGCACGTTTTTGAATGGAAGCCTGCGACGGGCGCTTGGTCATACCGGTACCGGTATGTACCAGGGTATGTACAAGCGCATTTTCAGCACCATCCGAATCCATCCATTACGATGGACGTCGTCGTTGAAACGAGCCCCGTCTTGTCTGCAGCACATTCCATAAAGCGAGTACTAGTACATACTGTCTTTCATGGGTACAAGACGTTAAACATTAGACAATGCGACGGCAATCTCTTCGTTCCCATGGTATCTGGTCAATCATGGCGCAGGCGTTGTGCGAGTCAATCTGAGGTCGAGCGTCTGCCTCCTCCCATGGCACGCGTCGATCGGCGACATCTCGACGGCCTTGGTCGACCACCCGACGTCGACCACGCAGCGCTTGTTGTTATCGGTGTCGATTGCAAGGTCAATGCGCTTCTGGAGAGCGAGCAGCTCGTTTGTTGAGAGCACCTTGGTTGGCACGCGAGCATCCGCCACCACGAGTCGATCACCGCTTGACACCAGCGACGAGATACGGTCGACGATACGGCAGTCGATCCACGAAACATGCATCATCTCAATCACGTCCATGACTGACGTCTGCGGTGGCTTGGCGAGGCGCACTGCGTCGGGTGGGGTCCCAAAAGCCTTTTCAATTTCGAGCAAAAGCAGGTCGATCCAGTGCGTCCCAGGTGAATGCATCAGACATAGTACCACGTCGATCTCGCGGCCAAATGTGAGATGCGCTCGGTCATAGAGTACGATCGAGACAAAGAGGGTGGTGGCGCCACGCGTCTCGGGCGACTCTAGCATCTGGACGGCAAACGGACGGTTCTCGTACACTGGGTGCGGCGAGGCGGCACCGAGCGTGCTGTCGTCGGAAAGCACCCGCTGGAGGCGGCGGTCGGCGCCCATGTCATAGAGTCGAAGGTGCTTAGCGTTGGGGTGTGCGCGCTGAAGGACCGTGAGGATGTTGGCCTTCAATTCGCTCACATACATGTGTTCCGAGACGACAAGTGGTGTACACAACGCGAGGTCGTTCGGGGGTAGACACGGTGGTAGCACGACCCTCACGACGCCTTTCTCGGTGGTGCTCCTTGGCGTTAAAAGAAAGATGTCGACTCGAAACTCGCCGACGCGCAGCGGCGTCCCAAGCTCGACCCACACAATGGTGATGGCCGTGAAGGCCTGGCTCTCGAACGACATGTCTAGGCACTTGCACTCGATGCCTGTCGCCTTGGCGCGACGCAGCTTGAAGGTCTCGGGTCGCAACTCGAAAAACGTGCAGAGTTGATCTTTGAGCACTTGGAGAGGTCGCCGGCGGTCAACGGTGAACGGCCAGCCCATTGCGTCACCCTCGACGTTCTTGGCGCGTAGCAGCTTGGGGTCCTTTGTCTGCACTTGGAGGGTGATCGAATTGGCGCGGGCCTCAAAGAGCTCTTTGGCGAGCGACGGCGAGGCCGCGAGATCGTCGACGGCTTCCATGTAGATGTTGCTGCCATCGCGGAGGGACAGATCTGTGCGCAATGTCTGCTGCAGCGTCGCTTCGTCGTTGGTCGGGTTGAGAATTCGTGTCGTGGGCGAGCGGTAGTAGCCCAGAACCTGCATATTCAACAGTCGCATGCGGTCTGGATCCATGCTGAGCTTGGCGCTGAGCTGCGCGACCAAGTCGTCGAGTTGCGCGTTACCCGGGAGTTGCACAAGCTCGGGCGGCTCGGTAAAGTGCTCTGGCGTCGTCGGCGTCGATGGCACGTATCGGCGCACGAGCAGCTGCAGCGCCGTTGGATCGTACACTGCCCATGCCTCGTCAGCGCTGGCTCGGACCTCGAGGCACAAGCAGCTCCAGGGGTAGATTTCCAATGCCGCTAGCGTGCGCTGCTCGAGGCCGTCGTACGTCTCGCGTGGCAGCGCCAAGGACTCGGAGTAGGCCCGCAGCCGGACGCGGTCCAGCGAGATACGCAGCTCAAAGAGCGCGACGGCCTGAACCGTCACCTCGGCGAGCGTAGCGTTCACGGAAACATATAGCAGCTTGTGGCTGCTGCCGAGTACGATCTTGAGCTCGAGCATGTCGGCAAGGTCGGTCATTCTCTTGTCTTCTGCGACGCGACGCTCGGCCCGTGCTTGCTTGTTTGCTTGCTCGCATTGCATCTCGGCGTGCACACGATCGACGAGCCAAGAAGGTATCATGTCGTCGGGAGGACACTGGACCTTGCGAGAGACTTCGACCTGGCGGTACTGCAGCACGTACGCACACGGCGCACGCGTTGACTCGT